CACACACACACACACACACACACACACACACACACACACACACACACTGTCTCTCAATGTCTGTGTAAAGCAAGGCTACAGACACGACTGTGAAGCCCTGCAGAAGTGAGGGATGACCTCATTTGTTAATTCTGTATTGTGGGTAGGTGCCCTCAAAGCTGTGCAACCCATACAACTCCTTTACATCACGGAACGAATCCCTGGCCAATCCTGCACCGTCCTCACAAACATCGCGGTGTTTGCACCCATCGTTGGAGCCACTGTGATAGTTCATCTCCTTGAGGGGCCTCCTCTCTTTTCACGGCCCTCTTCTTTACCGAGCATGATGTCCTTCTCCAGAGACCACGATTTCCTGGCAATGTGTCCAAAGTGGGTGAAGCAAAAGCTTACCCTCCTCCCTTCTAATGGGTACCTGGGGGCACTTCTCCCGAGACTTGCTGGTGTGTTCTTCCGACACTCCTCCACGTATGCTTTGCCAACACCAAAATTCAAAGGATCAGTGACTTCTTTAGACTTTCTTACTCATTGTCCAGCTGTCAAATATATATGAAGTGACTAGAAAGTACTATTCGTTTGGTATGTAAAGTGACGTCTTTGCTTTTGTAACATTCTAAAGAAGCCCTTTGAAACAGATTCTTTAGAGACTCCAAAATAAATTCACTAGCAAGAAACAGCCCTGTTTACTGCAGACAGTGCAGCAAAACCTAAAAAACAAAGTTATTCATCATCCTGCCTCCCATAAATACACCCATTGCTAAATTGCATGTTTATCTCTCCAGTATCTTAATTATGTATATAGGGAAAATGAAATTATTTCGTGCACGTTGCTTATAACCAGCTTTTAACAAAACATACCATGACATCAACATTATTAAATAATCGTCTACCTAATAGTTTGTGATTGTAGTATTATAGTGTGTGTACATTTTGTAACTTTAAAATCATGTTTCTGCTTTATCTGTATTCATCAATGATAATTAATGAGAAGGGCGCTCTGGTGGCTTAGTGTCAAGAAGCTGTGCTGCAATCCTGAAGGCATGTGGTTCGAGGCCACCAGCAGCTCCACAGAAGAAGGATTGGCAATCTCCTCCCATGTGATTAGCTGCCCTTGAAAATCCATAGGGTTAGCTATGGATCAGTTCTGACTCTATGGTACACAACAATGAGAGAGAAAGAGAGAGAGAGAAAATATGAATATGGATGAGAGTGCCCCGGTAGCCTAGTGGGTAAGGAGTTTCCCTGCCAACTCAAAGGCAATTGGTTCAAAATCATCAGCTGCTCCAAAGGAAGAAAGATGAGCAATCCCCTTATATCTTCTGAAAACCCACTATGACACAGTTCCAACTCAGTGGCACATAGCAACAGTAGCAACAACAACCACTCTATTATATACATTTGGTTTCAAAGTTTACAAAGGGAAACAGTTTTGCCTAGTAAAATTAATTCCACAATGTAACCACACTCTTCCCATGTCTTCCTTGTGATTCTCACTTCCATTCCTCCTTCTATCCTCCTGTTTCTTATCTTCTGAGCCTTATCCCTGGGCAATGCTGCCCATTTGATCTTATGTGGTTGATTATTCTAAGGGACGCATGTCCTCTCTGGTGGTGGTATTCATCTTAGAGGCCAGTTGTTGGGCTGAGAGTTGAGGCACATGGGGGGAAGTTTGTTCCAAGTTCAAAGGGTCGCTAAAATAATAGTCTCAGAGGTCCCACCCATCTCTATGTGACAAATGTGTCTGGCTGTTTGTACATTTTTTTTTTAGTTTTGTTCCACATTTCCCCTCCTCCTCCATCCAGGTTTCTGCTATAATGTTCAAGATAAATTCTTAAACTTCACTTCTGAGTCAAAAGCTACTGAACACTTTTAAGGTTTGTATTTTTCCTCCCAAATATGAAGCCACGTTGCCATTGAGACTGTTCTGATTCCTGGTGACCCGTGTGTGTCAGAGTAGAGCTGGGCTCTGTCAAGTGTTCAGTGACTGACTTTTTCAGACGTAAACATTTAGGTCTTTTTTACGAGGTGCCTCTGCTACTCTGAACTCCAGTCTTTGCTTAGTAGCCACACGTCTAACTGTCTAAACCATCTGTGAACCCCTTTCCAGCTAACCTCCTGAAAAGACCTAAAAATGTTACCTTAAAAGGTGTCCTTTTTCTCATACTTTCACCAATTGTGTGGATATTACAATATGAATTCATAGAGAGACTCGTATTAGGACGTAGATAGCTGTAAAGTAGTATTGAGAGAGCAGTGCCGCAGCATCAGAGTTGAGTACTTTTTAGAAGATGCTTTGAAACCACTGAAGATGGTGTGTCAAGATTACCTTGTTTGCAAAGCCATCAGTTGACAGATACCGTTTTGTACTTGAAAGGGTGGTCCTGTGAGCACGTGTATCA